CATAGCTTTGTATGAGTTCAATTGTCTGTGTGCTGGATTGGGTTTCATTTCTTAATATAGGTTTCGGGTGCATAAGATCAACCGAGAAACAAAGAGGAGCATAAGCGTGACATTTAGCCAATTCATTAGTGACAGTGAAACATGAATTTGCAGCAAAGTTATTCTGGGACACTTTTCGCATCAAAACCTTTTCAATTTAAACGTGCTTGTGAAGAATTTAGGGTAACGAGTACTTATTAATTTAATTAGTTTAATTTTGGAACGCTTAGGCATTGGTAAACTTCCTAAAATTAAGCATTCGCCCACCAGAAATGAAATTTTCCCTGCTATGCACGTCTTTATTCAAGTGCATCTGGAACGTGAGAACACAAAAAGTACCATTTTCATTTTACCAATTGTCAATGTAAACCCCTCACTTCTTGCTCAAAAAAAACGCCAATTATTTTTTTCACAAAATAAATGCATGGTTATTTAATTAATTCAAAACTGTTTTTGTCATTTTTCGAAAAAAATTACCTAATAAGTGGGAATCCAGATGATCTTTCTTAAAGATTCAAAATAGCTCAACCAATAATGGTTTTGTAAGGTGATCATCTAAAGATTATATAACAATTCGATGTGTTCAATACTAGTTGGTGAGTGTGTTTGTGGATGGTGACGGATACAAATCATGGGATGTATCTTTTCTAGTCATCTACATGGTTTTTAGTCCCGCTTTTCTCGAAGGACGACCACTAAACTAGGGCTTGCATATTTTCCTTCACAGAACCTCTTCCCGAAGTCCATACAATTTTAGATGCAGGTTACAAGGTTTAGTTAATACACGACCATTTACGAGCATTTAGTGAGCAGAACGTAGTAATCAGAGTATTTTCATCTACTGACCGACCGTCAAATAGAAAAAGAATCATAGCAAATATGTTTCCTTCCCTCCTTAAGATCTACATCTTTTGAAGGCACAATTATGCCTCGACAGGATGTGGATTTGACAACAGCCCGAGGCCTTAATTGGACCACGAAGCAAGTCGCCACTTCTGACGACCATCCAAAGTGTTTGAACAGGATAGCCACGTGGGATTTGGTAAAAGCAAGGACCAACAATGGGAAGGTGCGTTGGATTAACCTGGACTGCGACCTATCCAGATCTGATGAAATTTTACAATTCAATGGACCCAAGCCACCCACTTTCGTCATCTTTGGCCATATTTGGGACGCTTCATGTGATCTAAATCCACTTGCTATGCATGAAGCTGCTTTATAACTAAGGTTGCAGCACGAACTATCACTTTTCCAACATCTGAGGAAAACTATGATAGGTTTTGGATCCGTTACACGTTAATTTGGGTCGAAATTACCATTACAATTTCTTAACTCAGTCTATAGGCAGCTTCCCCACAATGAAACAATATATTTTTTGCACGCTCCGAACTAGTTCATGTCTAAGATGTCAACTTATGCAAACAACCCCGAAATGCTTTTCTTTAAAGCAACCTGGTAAACAGGCAAGTTACCAGACCTTAGTTGGAAAAGAAAGGTTGAACTGGCCACATGGGTTTATAGCTTAGCTCAATAATATAAGATGGTATTTTCAATTTAATATCACGATTACAGAAGTCTAAGCACCAGGTTTGTTATAAAACTGAATTTGTTGGAACGAACAGTGGCCCAGATGCATAAGGGGACTCAAAATTTATCCGTTGCCAACGTACCATAAGGGGACCCAGAATAGTACAGTGATAAATACTGCTAAATTGCGTCTCTACTGCCGCAGTCAAGGCAAGTCCGGAGACATTGGCAATTCACCTCCGAGACATTTGTTTGTTTGTTTAATCCCCCCGTGTCTCATTGCCCCCCTTTTTACGCTGACCCGTTTGAACATGCACACACGGTGTGTACAAAGGCCCCCCAGTTCACTCTTGTATGTTTCCCGACCTCGACTCACATGACACGCCCAGTCGTCATGCCGTACCTTGTCTGTTTACTGTACCCGAGTTCTCTTGGTTAAAGACCACAACCCGACAGTCCTCCCCTGTTCACCTCTGAATGCGGTGTCTCTTAATTAAATTAAAGTCTCCTGACGTCTACGGTCTACTCGGTCTTCCGTGTGTGCCGCCCAACACAGAAAAGTGGTAGCCTTGACGTGGTCTAGTCTTCCAACGAAGCCTCAACACGATCATCCCAACTGATTTAGAGAAGAAAAATGCACTCAATTGGAGAAGGGGGAGCCTGAGGGTTACGATGACACTTGAATGATAGCAGGGGCCCTTGGGGATCGCCTAGTAGAAGGGCGAAGCACCGATGCAATCCGCCTACACGTAGTTGCAAAGAGCATGGATCACGCCATGCTTTTCCGCTTCTTTTAAACTAGCCCAAAAATCAGGTTAGGGGGCAGATGATATTCGACTAGCTGCAGTTGACGCGTAATACGTTTGGTTCACATTGCAAAATGCCGATTTGCTTCGTCAGAATTTTAGTTATTCGATTAAGCGTGTCTCATCTAATCAGCCTGAATTTAGGGTCACGCCGGTCGCGTTCCAAAGACAAGCTTAAATAACTTAGGCTGAAAGTTAACTCGCCTATTTGAGTATGTTCTGCTTGTACGCATTACATTCTCCTTTTACTCATACAGAGTCAAAGTATGTTTGTTTAAGTAATCCACTTTTGTTTTGGTAACCCACAAAAGACGATTATGAAACCCCAATACTCCATGTGTTTGTCAATGAAAATTTGTGTCACCAACAACTTGGACGTCGTCTGCTTAGACCTTAATTTTGTCTAGCTCTGATATAAGCATTGTGTGCGCTCAAAAAAGGAAGGGGTTTATAGCCTTCAGAGTACTTGACTGCAGTGATAATTGGTACTGGAGAAGCTTAGAACCTGGATTATGTCAGTGAAAAGGCGAATGCAAAAGTGGTCACGAGGCACTTGAGACACAGTTGACGTCTTTGTCGATAGGCTGATGGGTAAAGGTGATGAAGAGAAGTTGATTGGTTGAATTCAAACAAACGGTTTCGGGGTCGGTCAGCGGGAGACTAGCTCGCCTAATCGAAGCTGATTGGAAGGCTGGCGTCGAAGGTGAAATTTACTACTGGACACCCACCTAATTCTCTCTCTCTCTACCCTTTTGAGTTGCTACTGCACTTCCTTAGTTTCCCAATGTCAAATTCCATCAATTGTTGTATCATTGACGCCAAGTTTATTTCCAAAACACCAAGTCTGCTCTGATAATTAGTTTAAAGGCTCCCGCGAAAGTCGGTGTACCTCATGAACTAATATCCATGATAACAAGATAAAAATCTTCTTTGTGATCAGCAGATTATTAGTTAGGGGCCTCCAATTAATGCAACATATAGGTACTACTTCTAGATTATTTGGCTGTGTGGCAACGCCGCCACAGTAGATTTAACTAATACTGTGTTAGTTCGCTCTTTGGAAACCATGGTCCACACTTTCCCCTTTTCAGGCGTAGAAAGAGGGCAATTCTGAGACGACGATAAGTGCTACAACTAGAGTAAGATTGTGTCAAAAATGCTATTTTGCATTTAGCCAAAAGGTTTCGGAGTTACTTATTTGAATGTAGTAAACCGATTCGACACAACCGTGTAGTTATCCGCTTGATGAGAGTTTTGTCATATTACGTATGAGGCTGCTTGCGTATAATGAGTGAAGGAATGACAGATGAGGGTCAGGGAAAGACAAATTGACCGTCACTTAATTGAGAGAAAAGTTCTCCCACTGTTATGGATTCAGCATCCCCAAAACCATTTCTTTCAGGGTATTTGAAATTTCGCATTTTTCACTATCGACTGCTATTCATGCACTCTAACTTTCACATTCATATCCTCCTCCTTCTTCCTATTGGTCCATGCACCTTGGAGTGCATCAATTACATGCAATTAAGGCTGCTCACACCATCTATAAGTGGACGCGTGTGAACTTGCATTCAGCCTTTGGCAGAGACCGTGAACAGCCTCTGTTCGAGGTCTTGTCTTTGTTTTGCATTGACGTATGAAGGCGCCGATTCGTACGTATTCAGCGAGAGTGCTAGCATGGGTGGTCGATAGAATACAAACGAGGGAACTGATTATGTTGCACTCCTGGGTCATCGGTGGCCTGCGAACTGCAACGCACTCTTGTGTGAGTCCTTCCAACTTTTCCTTAAACGCAATTACCTTTGGGTAATGTCGGTCAATTGCTGTCTTAACACAATCTTGCCAATTGACACAGTAACATGGTAAACTGGTTCTGCAGTTGCAACTCTGTCACCGTGTCTTTCAGGGTCCTCAATTTTACTGAAATAATTCTCACCAGTTACAGATAAGACATCACGATGCAGAGCCCACCCAGGCCGTCTCCACACATTTACCCGAATCCATTCACATTTAGAGCAGGCGCATGTATTAGTGCAGTTATGCACTCAGGTACACTAATGGCTGACCTCCACAGGGGATTAAAAATGTACTGAAAATTCACCACAAGTTATTTTGCACCGCAAAACATCATTCCCACTAATCGCTCTTGATTTTGTGAGCTGGTTCACCTTAAGCAGCAGATAAATAGTTTACATCATTTCCATAAAATTAACAACAATTTTTCAATAACGGTTATTTTTCATACACTGAAATGCATTCGAGCATGCGTTTTCGTCTGTGTTCCCTCCATTCACCAAGGCCATGAGAGTAAGGATAAGCTAGTAACCAAGTCAGACATTTGTTCACATATTTATATCAAGGTATATGCATTAAAGATGAATAAGCTGCACAATACTGTGTCTGTGAAGGAAGGGAAATAAGGCCAGGATTTCTCGACAGACGGGGGAACCGATTTTTGGCGTATTTATATTGAGGAGTAAGCAAGAATTGATGGACTGGAAGGTCGCAATTGAGCAATGGTCAGTGGAAGAACTGATAAAGAATAAAACGAAAGTTAAGGTTTGCGATTTAAAACTATGTCCGTTTAAAGAATTAGGGCATCGAGATTTAAGAAGTTAAGTTGAATCCCTAAGCGGTCCTGTTTGCATCGACCACTGGGATGGTTGGTGCTGAGTCAGATCGGATATCGCTTGACCCATTGACTACGAAGGTGTCCGAGTCCAACTTGGTGGTCTCGTGGATGGCCTTATTCAAAGCCTGCAATGGAAAAGGCCCGAGGTCGGTCTGTTGATAATAATAATAATAATACTAAAAAGTAATAAATAGCAAGGCTTACTTCATCTTCATTTACATTTGAGCCCTCTGACGGTGACGGTTGGTTCGAGCCGTCTTGACTGGAGCTTGTAAAAACTCGCTAAATGTAAAAAACGGACAAGGAACGAGTAAAGTAGCATATTGTCAGTTTTTAGCATATTAAACTGACACGACGTCGGGGATCATCGACAGCTAACGTTAGGTACTTTGTTGAAAAACTGATTTTTATGAGGGCTTGGGAGATTTTATGCATATTTTAAGTTTGCATCGAGAAGATCATCTCCTACTTAGAACATGGTAGATGGTTGTAGTCTGCAAAGTTACACAAAATTACTTCTGAAATGAAACTAATTCGCATAATCCGTTCTATCCGAATCTACCCTGTGGCCTTACCTAATTTCAGACTTTTCTTACTGTAAGCAGTCAGTAGCACAATCTCACAGGCATCTGGATTTATACTTTGAAGTCCCGTATTCGCAGGAAAAAAAACTACGACGCGAAATAATTGGTCAAAGGTATCTTGTTGCGGTTTCAACAGAAAGCCCTCGGTTGGTTCAAAATTCTCAACAACGACAACAGCATTGGAGGTTTAGTCTCAATGCTTAAAATTTCTTGGCTTTGCACGAAATGCCTTTATATCGGAGGTCTATTCATAGAAAAGGACAGGTTGGACAAGAGACGTTTTAAAAAGAGAGGCATATACCGGCTTAATGAAAATCACAAGGTTCAATCTTTTTTTACTCCACTGAATAACTCAATGAGTTGCACATTTTCGAATAAATCGTCTGAATTAATCATGTTAATCAGCTTGGCTGCTTACAAATACGAGTAAGAAGAATCTAGTTAATAAACAGCATGGAGTTCTTTCTGATATCAAAGTCGCACCAACAATGTCTGATTCAAACTTGTTGTTAAGTCGAGACATATTCGAGTGAGGAATTTGACTGTGGAGAAAAATTAAGCTGCTACAATTACCGTGGTTTCAAACCGCTCAACGGATTCATTGCGGATGGTAGTGATGACTTTGCGGTGCTTCTGAATGATCCTCTTCACCCTCTGGCCTTCTTCGTTCGTATAATACTCCACGGTCACCTCTGGATCACCCTCTTCGGTTTGCTTTGGAGTAAATCAGAACAAGGAAAAGGTTCAGGATAGTTTTTTTTTAAAACACTGAAATGCTGTGGCGGCTTGGACACAGCGGCGTCAAGTTTAGACCAGGTTGAATAAGTCAAAAACACCACCCAGGCAGTCGGCTGTTAGACTTCTGATAGGTTTTAATTCTGGCGAGAAACAATAGGCTAACGATTGTAATATGTCCCTCACTAACAAAGTGACTCTTTTGATACGCCCGCGTGTTAGATTGAGGCAATTAGTTCAGGTCACAAAGGAATTGCCTTGGAGGCCTTGAAAGTTGCCTCAGAGATGACAAACACATAGAAAATATGGTATGCGTGAAAATGGGCACGTAAGCTAAATAATGCATAAGAAACTTGCTGTTATGTTGTTGTTGATGTTTCAAAGCACATTTAAGGTCGAACCTCTATTGAGTAAATTTCCAGCTCAATAAGTACCCAAAATTTAAATTAAGAATTTTGTTAGTTTTCTGTTAACTCGACACAAAAACAGGGGAGGTAAATTTAAACTAGAATATGAGAGCTGATTTGGAAAGGAACTAAAAAAGGAAACCTGGCCTGAAAATGATTGCAGCATGTCAGAGACTGTCTGGGAGTCTCTCCAGAAAATGCAGCATGGAATAACTTTCACACACGACAATACTGTAGTCAGGGCTATCCCAAAAAAGGTCCCAAAATGTACTTGGACAAATCCCATAATCGACAGGTTAAAAGCTTAGCCATACAAGTGTGCGCGGCAATCTCAGTCTCAAGCAAGTAAACAGCCCAAACATTGCTTGCTAAACAATTGAAAATAAGTCCATCTCCGTGATATGGAGGAAAAAATCATTTTATGTGGGTAATATGGACACCGGAATCCCAATTAATGGGTACAGCCTCATATACTTGGTATGTAGCAAGATATGAGTGCAATTATACAAACAGTTTGAGTTCCGGTGTTTCCCGAAACAGAGTGACCGTGATTGGAAATCAGGCCCTCGTCATCTGTTTGCTACAGGACAACACACTGACCCACAAATTAGAGCATGGAAGAATGAGTCAGTGTACATTTTTAAAGAAATTAATACTAAAAGCCTCCCTCAACTGCCTTAGTCGCAGCATTCATCAAAAAATGTCACTCTTGATACGACCCACTAGTGAACTACACAAGGCTAAGTAACAATGACTTAACCTAATCCCGGCGTAGAGTAAACGGTAGTGTTTTCTCAGTCTCCATCGTTGACTTATAGCTTATACACTGCAACAGCAAGACCTAACGCCAAGAATTAAAAATCGCAAAATAATAACCGCGTCCCTCTACGGGACTCACGATGACCGCGGTAGTTTTGCTGAAAGCCCAGGCTATTGGCCAATTTCTTGACGAAGTATTTTGGTAAGTTCATGTCACTATGAATAAGGGCAGAGCAAGTGACCCACCACCTTCGTAGAGTCGAGTCGGGTCTCGGCGGAGGTCTTTCGCGGCCGTCGCCGCCGCCCATCGTTCGCGTGGTCACGCGAGGCGGCCGTTTCGGCGTCCGAGGCCGCGCAAATCACCGTATCCTCCTCCTCGTCTTCCTCCTCCTCCTCCTCCTCGTCTTCATGGTCACCCATGGCTTCCTCGTGGCTACCGGCAGGAGGCTGGTGAGAGAGCACGACGGGGTCCTTTTCATTGACTGTTATTGTTACTTCGGCCAGGTGAATATCACTCTCCACACGCTCTGTCGTTGCCTTTGTTAATAAACGGAGAACAATGGTGGTCTTTTCACTTGTCCAAATTGGGTTACGGTGACCAGCAAACGAACACAGTTACCAAGGGTTAGCAAATACGATTTAATCGATTTACTTGAATGCGTTTGACGTACCTAGTTTCGTCCAGAGTTGTATATTAGACGATCGTATATAAACGGACCACTTATTACCTTGTATAACCACGCCATTACCGTATCATTAGCGTTATCTCTTGTCTCCTTTCTTTCTCTTGGTTGGACCTGGTGTGGTCCTCAAACCTCACCAGGGCTCCAACAATTGTTTGAGAATCTACACCGAACATGGCTACGTGAAGTGTTTTCAGGTAAATCAATTGAATTGTGTTCGATCTCGCTTGATTACTGAGTTCGCTCTCTAGTCGCCACACGGTGATTCATTTCGACTCACACCGTCGACTGATGATGTGTGAATAAGTGTACGCTGACGGAATTCCAGCATTTTCAGAGAGGCGTTTCGGACTAAAAGCATTTGAAGGTGCTGACCCCAATCGCAACCTTATAGCGTTATTAGTAAAATCAAAAGCTTGTTAAAGTACTGGATGTTTTAATTTGCTGTCAGCCATGATTTTGTAACGATAGCTTCAACTTAATCAGCGGTATTTTTTATGCATTAAGTTGTAAAGTTAATGATAACATGATATCAATTCTACGTTGGTGGGCGTGGTAGAATGCCCAAAAAAGAATAATATGGCAAAAAAGCTTGGAATCAGGTGCTAGAATGGGATACCTTTGAATTAGTAGCTTTCGAGGACATCCAGGAAATGAAAACAATGAATTGGTGTCGCTGACTTGGCATGATGGACTTTCGATCACCTACAGTTTCTAGTGGCAAAAGTGGAAATCGACCAAGGCGAAGGTCAGTGGCGCAGATTAAGTTTAAGGCCTTAATGCTGCATCTATGGGCTAGAGTCAAAGTTGTCGCCTTCACAGCGATGTTGCAATTGAGGTTGTCTTAAGTCAGTGGCACCGCCTGCCAGTTCAGTTGTTCATGTGGTGTAAACTCACGCGAGTGGAATTATTTGGCTGCCTCATTAGGTTCTACACGAAAACGAGGCCTTAGTAAATTGCCTCAACTTGCGTTAGAAGGCCTAACGAAGTTCTGGTGGAGGCATGAAGAAAGCCAACAACAAAAGCACCACGACAAGGAGTAATGTTTGGTTAATTTGATAGTTGTTCAAAGACAAGGTGGCATAGTGTAAGGGAAACATGTAAACTAACTCCCTTTGATACTTGTGTCCACATGACAAGAGTTTGCAACCTTACTCATCGATGGCTACGCTGACTTTCTACTAGCAAATTGAGCACTTTGTGTTTTCTCCGAGCACAATATCAGGCCCACCCATAATCTTTTAAACCTAGTGGATAAGGTTTTGGAATATGCTCATGCTTTCTTGAATATAGGAGTCAAGATGCCCGTTTTAAAATGCGTCTGCAGTTACAATATCCCACAAATAACTTCATCACTGGCCAGCCAATAGGAAGCGAGTTCTCATGTGGGGTGGCAACCGCCTTTCCAATCGCGTTGGTGACCTGCTAAGGGGTCCAATGACGGGGAGAAGACGATAGTGAGGGCGCGTGTGATTGGGTCAGGTGTGTGTTTAAGTTTGTTGGATAAAACAAACAGTTGGTAGCTTACTTTTGTGGGACCGAACACTAATCTGCGTGTTAGTTTTGCAGTGAGTGCATGAACAAACTGTCACCACTGAAAAATGCGGACTGTCACCACGTTCATCACATCACTCCACACCGGGGTTAGCCACATACTTGTTGTGCCAATTCCATCACTTTGTCATCCAAACGACGCCCTTAAGATGCAGGGTTAGGCTAGGTTCGACCGATTTAGCACGTTAAGACCTCGATGATTAAGATGAGCATGGGTGAACTGCCTCATTTGGCGGAATACGATGCATGAAGTTCCTTGAGCACTTTCGGGCTTTCAAGCACATAGAAGTTCCTTCTTTACGGTTACCACAGATAAGGCCACGACCTAATCATGCGAAATCAGACACATCTAAAGACCGTTTCTTTGTTCGAAGTCGTGTGATCATCTAATTGAAGGACAGGGAGTGGCAGTGGCTGCAAAGGCGCTGTTGGGGTCTTTTCAAAACTCCTTAAAAACCACAGAAGTCGTGTGGATCGCCATACAATGCATACTAAAATATGTTTTTTGGCTATTTAATAACGCTTGAGTCCACTTCGATGCAATGGATCCATGTTAAACTGAATGCTCAAGCTTAACTTTTCCATGCACGACGCGGTGGAATCTCATATGAAAAATTGAAACTGGTCAACACGTGTTGGTAATACAGAAAAAAAGACAGAATACGTAAATTGGTGACAATAAATAAAGCCCACAACATGCGTGTAGTTAAGGGTGAGGACAACGTCATTAACGAAATGTTATTCTGAGGACAAAGGGGCGATGGGGGTTCAGGTTGTCTGATGGACAAAAAATAATAATTAACTACCGAATGTAATTAAGCAGCTAGTATATAACGACTCAGTGACCTACGTGGAGCTGAAGAACACCATTGAGACCACGGGGCCACTTGAGGGAGTCCTGAACATATTGATCCGCTGCAGCAAAGAGAGGATACCATTCCTCCTAACAAATAAAATCACATTAATGTTAGTAAAGTAGTACTGTAGCGGCATCTTGCAGGGGTTTGTGTTAGATGCGTTTAAGGGTCTTAGATCCTTGCATCCATGCAATGCTTATGGACATCGCTCTAGAGGACAATTATTTATAGGTTCATTTCAGAGAAGGCTTTTGACTTTTTTTAAAATGATATGGGGAAGAATTAGGGATCCTGCTAATTTAAGCGGGTCCTGTCGCACATGAGTGGACTGAGCCAATTTTGAATTAAGGACATAACTATCGATGACCCATTAAAACCTAGGCATCGATCTCTGGTAAGTCGAATTTAGCAAATATTGCTAGACACTCAGAGAATGGACAGTGGTGGTGTCCTCACAAGTTAAATGAACTTCGATAAGTTGACGTTTACGGGAATTTAATTTGAGTTGGTTGAAGGTGAGACAGTGCCCCTGTCTCACCTTCAGGGGAGATGGATGGGTAGGAGGAAGTAACCACGCTAATCAAAGAACACATTCCTATGCCCGGGTGGCTGTGTGTTTGGAGATGTGGGATGGCCGGACGGAGTCATAAACGGTTTGTTTATTGTGTGGTTCTCCTTGGCCAACGCTGCCTTCAATCCTGGGTCGACTGGTGCCCCGTTATTGGCTTGATCATAGCCAGTTAAGAGAGCGGTAACTAACCGAGGGCTGGTACTTGAATGGTCGGTCGCCATAGTTGACCTCGAGGGTGGTGCAAAAGAGAGAGGCAGAGGGGAAGAAAATGGTCTTCGGGTGGGAGATGAAGGAGGAGTCCATGTAGTAGGCTGGTGGCAGCATTTCGCCGTTCACCGACCACTGAATAAAGCCATTGTCAAGGTCGAGGAAACATCCCACGACGTCTCCCACTCTTATCCTCTGGGGAAGGGGAGGGCAAAAGTGAGTGGATGTGGATGTAAACGGCTTAAAACAATTTCATACATTGGGTCCGAGTTCTGGTTCTATCGACCTCGCCTGAGCCTATTTTTTAACTAAGAAAACACCACTAAAACTATATCCAACGGTTAATATTAAGTGCAACGCACCGGAATTGAGCGTGGAATATGAAACACAAGGCGGAGTGCTACTTTCTTCAAGCTTTTATTCTGAACCACAGAAATTTCAACAGGGAGAAGTGGGAGCCTTCTGCGAGCAAATTAACTTTAGAACTGATGAAATTCTGTTCAGAAAGCATGAACAGCCCCAAACACTGAAATCATTTGGCCTTTGTGCCAATGAATTTGTTAGCAAGCACACTTAACTGCTGGCCAAAAGCAGTTAAACAATCCAAATAGCTGAATCGATTCCAGAAACTGAGCCAGAGAGCAATCTTTTTTAACGTAAACTGTGTCAAGTCGAGACAGACATGTGAATGCAAGACAATGATGTTACACACCATAAATTCCAATTCTACAGTTGCCACTTGACTACATTAAACCAGTGCCCATCTGTTTGTTAAAAACGATAATCAAAAGGAGTTCATTGTCATACTTATGACGCATATGGGACAAAGGCACCGAAGTGAGTAGTCATTTTAACTTTCCAGAATGGAAAGCATTTTCCACTTTCTACCAACTATGGCTTCCGTCATAAAATGTTTTTAGTGTCAATCAAACGTATGGCTCTGGTTTTACAATGCGTAGTCACTAAGGAGAACATTATAAATGCATTTTTGGTTACACGAAGTTGTTCATGGAAAGCAACTTACTAGGATGCATGTTTTATAAGAGTGATCAAATCCAGCAGCTATTAATGCTAAATATAGTGAAGTAATATTAATGATTTCAAAAAAAGGAGACTTTAATAAGGGGACATTAGTGTGAGGAAGCAGTTGTAGTTTCTCAGAATTGTTTGTTGCCATGTTTGTAGCAAATTGTGTTGATTTTGGAATGACTCATTCGTGCGGCACGAAGCCTCTTCATTCTGGAAACGGACTTTGTCGGTTGTGGAGTTTGAGAAGATACTTCTGTGGCGAGCAGCAAGTGTGAGCGAACACGTTTCAGTCGATTTTCGTGAGTGCAATTCATGTAACTCCTCTCGCTCAAGGATCGGTGCTTAGCGAAGTTATATAAACACACTTATTATCCTGTACAATATACACACCACTACTGCATCAATAAATTAGTTGGGCTACGCGCCATCTGCCTTTTTACTCATCCTTCTGCTGGGCCTTACCAGTATAAATCGCTGGCCCTGGTGCGGTTTTGGAAACCACACCAGGGCCCTCGATACCTCATTTAGCATTCGATGGCACAAAGATGTAACGCAGAAATGCTGCTTACTGTCCCGTAATTCTCCACTTCGCCATTGAAGACCTTTTTGGCTGGGCTGCCGTCGGGCGCATGGCCGAAGCCGTAGCCGAGGTTGTCTGCGCCTAGCTGGAGGTTTCCACCTGGAAGAGACCAACCGAAACGAGCGAATCCGCTGTCCTCTACTATCTCAGTCTCGTAGTAGTATTTGCCAGCCTCGAAAACACCCTGGACAGAAATGCATGAGAACATCTCGCAGAAAAGCAAAATCAACCAACTCAAAATCGACATGATGGTGCCTAAAACCTGTACAACGTAATTTGAGCTCCAGAAATACGCATCGATAAGAATCATGTGTAAAAGATTAATCCAATATTTACATCACTTCGTTGTAGGGCGACTAAACTCCCTTTCTGAAGCAATTACTAATATGACTCAAAATTGTAACTTTTTAACCCAAACCATGCGTGGGTCACTAGGCCAGGTTGTTGGCATTGTGGTGATGACTAGAACCTACAAGTGCACAATGTGATTCGAGTGCTGCAGAGCCAAAGAGCAAAAGATACACTCCCCCTATGCCAACGAGCACCGGAATTTCCATCGTAATTTAAATGGACAATCTTCGGGTTAGCAATAATAACGTTCGATTAGTAGTTGATGCTCGGGAGGTACAAAACGCAAAATAAAAACAGCAAATGCACGCGGCCTGAATGCCTACTCTATTTGCCCGAAAACCTTGCCATTCGTTTGTGTCCTTAGTCTGTATCATCCGACCATCTTCGGAGACAACAAGGTTGAGGGTGGAGGTCGTGTCGAATTGGTTAATTCGCCAGCCCGCGTTCACGTTGTGCACGGTGCGCTCCAGTGGTGCGTGGACTGGCGCCGTCCACTGAACGCGACCTCCCGAAATCTGCTCCGGCGAGTGAACGAAGGGTATTTCGCCAAAGTTGAGGGCCACACGGGCATCGCGTAGGGACACGGCTAGGAAATTACAATCCAAAGATGTGCCAAAAGCTTATCACAAATCTAAATTGTAGATAACACTTAATGCTGTTGGCTGTAGCGTCATGTCAGTAAAAACGATTTACTGATCTCCCGTTGTTCATTTTGTCCACAATTAAAACCGACTTTACCGCACCATTCTCAAAGGTTTACCTTGAAGAATTTATTCCACTTTGCAGTAAGACTATATCAGAATTTTGGAAAGCATTGTTGATAGTATCGAATTTGAGGTGGCTTGAGTTACCAAAAAATGCTACCGACTACCAGGTTGATGTGCTTATTCTGATGCTTTTTATCGGTGTAGAAAATACTATCCGTGCCAACGCAACTCGTTTTCACAAACACTTTCCCTCCCAATAGGCTATGAGTAGCTATAAATGAAACTTGTGATATCAAAATCTAATGGAATTGGCTCAAGAGATGTGACTTCTCTGTTTTTCTATTGACGGAGCATTGAAAGCACCAAAGCAATATTATTCAGGCGCACATTTATTATAGGTATTCTAGCATTAAATCCGATGTTTGTTTGGAGAAATCATATTTTTACTTAATTTTCAAGGAGCAAAAGCGTGAAGGCAGTTCTGTTGAAATTGATAGACCTTTAAAAGTGCAACGCTTATGGCTTTGTGAAGGCTAAGGTGCTGCGGTGCAGTCAGGTATGTTTCCATATTTGTCGTTGTTTGATGAACGGGATGAACGTTTAGCCAGTCGCGCGTATTCAATTGATGTTCATGCCGTTAGTCACATTTATTCCGCCAAGTAACAATAACCATAAAATAAGGTTATAATAGCAAAATTTTAATCAATCTTCTAGGAATTTAGCAAGCTTCGCATTATTAAATCACGAGTGGCTTTCCGGGATTTGAATCGTCACAAGGAATATCAAAGGAAGCCACTCTGCCTGTTGTAAAGAAATTTACCCCGACAATGTGCTGGTTCTCGTTAATTTCCCCTATTTTGCATGAAGTGAAGGCTTTCCCACTTACTTGGGAAGAAGGCATTCTCATTTGCGATCTCGGGTGGAATTCGAACTAGATTGGCGTGTGGAGACGTAACCAGTTGGCCGTTGTGGGACCACATGACATTCCCCACCAGTCCTCCCCCATCGGCATCCTCCTGCAGCTGTAGGAAGCACCCAAGCACGTCGGAAACATGGATTGGAAAGCCCATCTCGTAAGCCTTGCCGTTGTGCACTAGCCGACCCATGGTTGACTGTTTCACGAGGGATCCGTCACCTAGAAAAGTGACGAGGTGCACGTTCAACTTTCAATTGTCCTGATTACAGCTAAGTATGTAAGGTCTACTGTTATTCATTGCTTGGATTATGTTGACGAATGTTCACGGTGAAATGCCCGCTTCAGACGTGTCCCTTCAAATTCGTTTTTATGGAGGATAAGTGAAATCTTCAGTCATTTTCTACGTCCAAGGCTTTCTCGCATTATGACGACGAATTTAGAGAAACAAAGTTGATCAAACCATAACATGTTTGTTTTGAGTACGAAGTTCCTATAAAGTGCACACAGATGTGTCAACTTGGCATAGATGAGAAAAAAAATAATCATCACACAAGGTGCGTATTTGCACGAGTGACACAACAAATATTTTGCCAAATTCAAGGGACCAGATGAGTAGACTAAATTGCTTCGGTGAAGCAAAGACAACAATAAATTTTGATATTTTTCTTGCCATTTTCGGCGGCTCCGTATCCGTAGCCACGATCGTCCATTCCGAGCAACAAAGAGGCATCGTTAACCGACCATCCCACGCGGACATCGCCGTCTTCAAGAACTATCACCTCGTAGTAGTAAGAGCCCGGTCCCTTGACTCCTCTGTTCGTGCGGCTTCCCTGTTAACAGAAGAGATGCATCCCGTCAGACCAAAATATCCTCGCAAATCGAATTTAAAAAATGTACTTCAAGAGAATTCGATGACAACGAATGGAAAACACGGACCGGAAAGTGTTACCAACTAAACAGGAGATAGCTACGCTCAAGTTTGGAAAAATCGGGACGACTCCAACATGGAATTTGTTTACAACTCGCGAAAAAAACCAATTATAAAACAAGCAATTTTGAAAAAAGACTTTGACACCTGAAAGTTTTGACGTTATGAAGGAATTGTGACGGCTTTGGACGACATGCTGAATGCTCTACAAAAAGAGCTTTAATAAAATCTTTTATTGAAAGTATTCATTATTGGCTATTCAGAAGTAACATGGCCTTTTTAAATTGCGGTAAAAGTCAATTGTACAGTATTGCGTTTAGTAGTCACCCAGGCGGTAGTGATTTGTCCATGAGGTAGTGAAGCTGCGAAAGCTCTCTAAATTCAGACGTTTAGAAATGAATATTCGTAAACAGAATACGAGTTTGCGATAGACTTGAATTTTGATATGACACGCCGTTTTGCCACCGTTAATGATCAATAACCATTGAAACTGGAAAGGCATTGTGTTCGAGGCGAAAGCGCGTCCACGCAAGTGACTGACTGGAACAGTGTGTTCTGAATACGCGACCCTGATGAACTCGGAGTGAGGCGTCGATCGACTCCGTCACAAAGGATCATCATTTCTATTTCTGGAAATCAGGCCATTCGCAAAGGAAACCACTAATTCTTTATTGCCGGATGAAACACATGACAGTGGTGGTTTGTACGAGCCATCACAGGCACCACAAGGTTCGAAGTTAATCAGTTCTAGGGAATCATTAGCACTGTTCTCAACAAAATTCAACTCCTCGAGGTTTAAGCGGACCAACTACATCGTATTTGGCTTTACCATTAACCACCGAGTCATTAAAAGAAAATATATGGCTGATGCATCCTAAACCCAGTCCATCAAAGTATTTGAAACCGAAATCCAGTTTTCCAATTTGATAAAAAAATTAATCAAATCGGATGGACAAGTGTGCCAGAAACTCATCCGTGGTACTGATTGATTAGGTCTGCACCAAAGCGGCCCTGTGTACTGGCAAGAAAAGTCAAACATCTAAAGTGAATTAGGGAAATCCAAAGACGTAAGTTGGTCGAATAAAGACTATGATGAATTGAGGAGCGAATTTGTGGATGGCATTCAGGAAAATCCACCCACTCATGATTTCTTCGGAGTCTTTTGAATGTTGCTATTGCCGTGAACTGGCTTCAAGATTTAATTTTTTGGTTTTACGCTGCCGTTTCTTATGATCTCACTTCAAATAAACCTCATAACCAGATCAACTTGTTGTGAATTGCGTTGGTTCACACTTGCTAATCCGATCACTCCATCCCGTGACACAGAGTCCCCCTTTTCACAGCATGTCGCCAGCCGCGCGGATCCCCAGCTCCGCCCCACATTCACACGAACATTTTTCCAGGATTATCCTTACACCTAGGTCTCGATGTTAGCTCATCTATGACTCACACAGTTAAACTATAAATACACACTCGCAAAAGTCACACACGACACCACGAAGTAAACCGTTGTGTCTACGTCTTCTCTGGTCTTCTTCTTCTTCTTCTTCGACACGGGCATCAGGGGAGCGTAATCGGGCCAAAGTTAACTCAGTGGCCCCGACGCGGTTCGAGACCACATGCTGGGGCCCACAACAATCGGTGACCCCACAACAAACCCCTAAAGAGGAGGCAAACTTGATGCACATAGCCCAGTCACTGCACGTGACCGGATGATGATAACTACCTTATACCGAAACTCACCCCTAAGTCTTAATTTTTTCACTCAAGCGCGATAGTGCCACAATAATAACGTAAAATTCAACCATCATAGCAATTAAATATCGTGCCTTCATTCATCTAACTGATTCAACATTTCCCACCTAGCAGTCACAAGACTAATTTTTTTGGTTAGGTATGCTGCATGCGTGCGCGGGCTAAATTTTGCCACATCATCCGGTGAACTTGCAGGCAGTCTCACTTCAAATTGGTTGACGCACCGCGTGCAACCTTGTGAGTGGCTCTTTTTGGTCAATTATGCTAATCTGCCAACATTTACGCATTACGAAGCCAGCGGACATGCTTTATTCTTGGTACACCGCTTGTCGCCCAAAGCAGCGAGGGGCTCACCTGCCACCCTGCATCCATCATGGTAGCCACGTCGGTTCCATGTAGGTCCATGCCAAGACCCTGTGTGCAGTCGGCGGGAGACATCTGCCAGTGCTCCTTGGAAAGCTGAGGTCTCGGGTGCTTTGGCGACACAACCGGGGGTGGCGCCATTAGGTGAACCTGCTGTACCTGCCGTTCAACCAGTGGAGTCCAACCGGTTGGAACTTTTGGGGCAGATTTGACCGGGGCGTAGGACTCCTCCATTAGAACGGAGGACTCGTGCGGTCCAATGGTGTTTACAGGACTCTGGAATTCATTTTTGATACCTTCCTCGTCTTCTATACTGGCACAGGGAGCTCGAAAATGGTTTTCTAGCAGACAAAGGAAAAACAAAAGTGAATCGAGACAATCACAGAGCCATATCTGTACTTGCATTTTACTTATTTTGGTCACTGAACTCTGAAGAAACCACCTTCACCCATGTCTAGTGCTGAGGTGACAATCGATAGAGATGGAATATTGCACAAACACGCGAGGGGGCAGATGTTGATGGAAAAGAAGGTGTACGGAAGTGGTTAAATGATTTGTGGTAATTCGATCAGTTAGACACCTTTTACATACTGCTCTCCATCTTTTAGCATTTTTAGAAATTACTACACAGTTACTTAAATATTGTCAGTAGTGAAACATCAAAAGTTTTTAAATGTTGAGGCATTGTTATAGCATTGGAAAAGAATTTTCAAGTTGCATAAGTTCATGGGTCGGAATTCCAAATGATCAAGCAATGTACTTAGAATTTAATACGTTTTCGGTATTCATTAATCAGCTAAAATACACAGGAAAACTTACCTTTCCTAGGAGCAACTGGAGTCATCAGAGTCACAAGAGATTTAGCTAAAAGGAAATAAAGTTAAATTCTTAAATAGCTTCGATTTTCCACGTGAAAGCCATTAAATATCGTAAGTAGACCTCTTAAAACACAAAAATGTTCTTTTTTGGGGAAATCTAAGGTAGCTTATTGCAAGTGATTCTATTTCTAGGTATGCAGGCTTTGGTCCTTTCAAAACACAACCTGCTGCTGTTTGTTCCTAATATTAGCTAATTGTCGACAAAAGGATCATGCTGAGATCCAGAATTAGGAAGCAAAAATTTAACTGAAGCCAAAGCTACAAAACTCCACTTTTGATCGCTTGCATCCACCACGAATTCTTCTCCATGGCTTGATCCAAATAAAGCAATTTTTAGAAAAACGGTAGCGATGACGGTGCCGAAAAACACATGGACTTGTACTCAATAAATAGCAAGTTAAGTTAGTTGAGTAGTGATTATTTAGGCAAAAAAGAGTTTAAGAAGTTTATAATTTCTTTCGGATCAAAATAGATATTTTTTTTTAAAAATCTATATTCCCTCAACAGACTTCAGTAATGATTTTTGAACATTGAAAACTGGTGAAGCTTAATAATACAAGCATTGTGAGGACACCTGCTTACTTGATTTCGCATGCAAACGTCTGAAAACACCCACAACTAACACAATATTTCTGGTTTAAATAGGAAAACGAAGGAAGAATGCACCTCAAGGCAGCAAGATGAATAAAAGAGAATTCTATCGGAACTGAGGGTCTAGAGGACAACACCCTTTGAGGGTAAATTGGTTCTACAATGGGCGCCGTGCTTTTATTAAAATATCTCCACTTTGATTGGAGTTTTCGTCTGCTGACTATTGCTGCTCCTGATTGAGCCGAGTGATCACGTCGAGGTCGTCATTTATAGAGTCCCTATTGTAGGTCGCTAAATCCACTGGTAGTACTGGCCCACTTGTTCATTCTTACCAGTCACAAAGTGCAGAGAAGGAAAATACCCGACTGGGTTTGTTAACCAATAGAATTAGGGTAAACTGATGAATGTTCAAGTTTCTGCACAATATGTGGTATGAGTGATGGGGCGGAGTGCGCACAGGGGTTTGCAATCATGCGTGTGTGCAGAAGCATTAGTGACGCTGCGCGTGAGCTGGGTTGAACAGTCGCGGATTAACGAGGTGACTTGACACGCGTAGACAGCGATAATAGACACAAGTCGTCACGGTTCACTCCAGGACAAAATCGTTTTACTATAACCTCGGTGGTGTGAATCACCGCGCTGCTATGTGCAGCATCAGTTATGAAAAGATCAGTGCCATGCTTGCAACTTATGCTCCCTCTAGCCCTTCTCAATAATAAGACAATAGCAATGATCTCCCGAATGAGCCTTTTTAAACTGATAGTTAATTCACTGTCACCACACTCTCTCCCTTCTCATTGTGCTGAGAATTATTAAAGTGTGAAGATGCATTCAATGATTCTACAGGGCCTTGCAGCCATGTTTTGAAGAACATTCCTCAATCCCACCTTCAGGAATTGAGACCATTAAAACCATAGTATGCATTTCCCACTAACCATATTGATCCGGTTTTCGCTGGGCAGCAACCCGCCTAATACTGTTAGTGGGAGGCAGTCCTCCATCCTTATTCAATGTCCAGACAGTTGACTCGTTGTCGTCAAATATTTGCGGACGGCTATTGTAGTGATACTTCCTTGTGCTAAAACCGGGCTGCAGATTGTAGCGTCTTGGTTCGCCATTAGCTCGAAGTCTACAGATATGAAGAGAGATCTGTTCAAAATAATTGCAGCGATGATGAACAAACGTACAACCATGCTCGTGCAAATATCCAGCCAATATTAATTACAATTGCAACCGTTTAGGTTAAAATACATGACCAGCTACCTTATAAAATCCCGGATTTTTGTTTAACGTGGTAACCATACGTAAGGGAAGGGTTGAATGTAGTTACCTAGAAAAACTGTTTAAATAAAGGAGATCTGGTATTTTATAAATCACAACCAATTTTTTTAATGTCGTCAAACAGAAACATCAACGGGTAATCGAACACACCTTTAAATATTATGGGAACGTCTATCGATTAAATGTTTAACGGGTTAAAGAAGCAGGTAGGACAATTAACCATGTATTGAATCGTACTTTAGACTTCCGAAACCGATTCGTTAGTATTAATGACGCATAACTATGCCAATTGGGAAAACAATCTGCCTTTCTCACGCCTTCCTGATCCAGGCAGAAATCAAGCTTAGGCATTTTGCTGCGCGATTATACTAGCTGTGGGGATTTCGGTAATCAACATGAATTCACTCAGCCTATTACTTGATTTGAAGACCTGCTTTCCTTGTGATGAGTTGCACGCGCCTTTGCCAAATGCCACTGGGGAAACCTCAAGAACAAAAACCCTTTACAAAAGGGAACTATTCGAGTTGTTGACAAGACTGTTATTGTTTTTTTGGCTTAACATCAAAATTGTCAATAGATGCCCACAACGACAATACTTGAACGTGAACAATCAGCTATGGGTTACATGAAATAACACTACTTCTGTGTACCTGAAGAAAGCGTGGTGGTCAACAACTACGTTGTAGAGCCGCTTGGCGAGTTCGGCGTTGAGGCACTTAAAGGTGAGTGTCTTGTGTCGTGGAGTAAGTGAAGGTTTGGCAGAACGAGAGCGTTGCTTCGTGTTGCCCCGTCCACTGGGTGAACCCGCTCGGGACGAGGAAGTGCTCGTTCTTCGCCGAGGACCTTTAGTGTCGCCTGGCGATTCAATGTATTCATCGAAGACAACCGGACGCACTACCATCACAAATTCCTTCCCCTTGTAGGAGAGTTCAACAATCCGCGCCCAGGTGTATCTTTGCATTCGAAGACGACCACGATAAACCAATACCCCGGAATGGTAAATTCCAAGGGAGTAATCTTCTCCTGCTTGATCCTACAATAGGAGTTCATGAGCAGGCTAAATTACCCTTTAAACTTTCTGAAACAGCACACTTTCAGTGTCATTCAACTCACGAACTTCGGTGAAATTTGCGGGTCTTAACAAGCATCAGGATTACTTTTTTTTCTAGTTTTACGAAAAGTGGACCCATGTAGCTGGATTGTGAACTGATCTTGAACATCAATATTGAATATGCTTAACTCTTACAGTAATTAACGTCAATCTCTGCATTAACAAGCGTTCTAAAATAGTGATCTTCAACGATGTCAAACTTAGAAATCATAATTTTTTTAATTCATTGATTATGTGGGATACGAGTGGATGACATATGGGAAAAGGAGTTTATGGACAAAGTTGAAGACTTCACCTTCACACGATGTAGGTGAACGCCATAAAGAGCCATTCTTCGAGCATTTTCTAGGAACATTCTGTCCGCCTGTTCGGGGGTCCTTCCTCTAAAATTGGACATTAAGAAATTCTACGTATTGACGACGAGGGGCAAACAAATCCCAAGAATGATAGCAGGTATTAAAATACATTTTTTCAAAGAACTTTGGGATTAAATAGTAACATACAATACACCTCGGGGTAAAAATATCACAGTGAGTCCAAGTGCCAAGCATACTGCTTTAATTTAAAAAAATATCGACTTATTGGTACGGGGTCATCAAATGTATTAATTTCATAAACAGGGCTTCCCTTCACCTCAAATCACTTTAAACACTAATTTCTGGTTGGAATTTTTTTGTTAGTCTTTTTTGGAACTATTAATCCAACTCAATGTTATCTGGTTATTACCACGCGAACAGAAATTTTCATCTGTTGAAATAAGACATTTTCCACTTAACTAGTTTGACTTTAATAACATCATCTTTTTAGTGCTTGGTATATTTAAAAACAATCAAAACGACTAGTTGTCGGCGAGTTAAGAATCTGAGAAAGCAGTCAGTTATGAAAAACCGGCTGCTACCGGAAAACACTTTCTTGAAGACTACACTTCGGAACTTCTAGTGGATCTTAATATTCAACTACTAACCCTAATCATTACGCGGCATTGCTTTAAGACGATAGTGCCTTGTTTCCAACGTCAATGCCTTCCATAAATGACCTTTGTAAACGTTTATTGAGGAGGCTCATGATAACAGCCAATAGCAACCATTTATTTCTTGTCAGCATCTGTATCTTTCAAGTACATTTGATCATGGCTGGCGAAAATAGAGGAGAAAATAAGTTGGTGAGAATTCGCCGAAAACAGCAGGAGTTCAAAATGTTGACGACCATATAAAAACATAGCCGAGGCGAGAGGTCGTCACTACTGGCGTAATCTAACCAGAGGTCCTGAAAGCTGAAAGCACGTGGTCTAGACGAAACTCATGTGATCAGTAGTGGATGAGAGCGTACAAAGGGACGTCTTTAGAGGCAAGCATCTGTCAACACTTTACTTATCCGAAAATCAAACTTCTCCCAAATCGATTGCAAACCTATCAAAAGTCACCAACCTCTTCCTGACGAGGTGCATGTATTCACAACAAAATTAAACATTTGAATACTGCAGGTGGTCTAGCCTATCTTTAAAGAATAACAAATTGCAATGGGAATGACATGGACAATCCAAGAAGAACGCAGTTCTTAAAAATATTTGATATGCGAGTTAAAATAAAGAATATTTTAACCCCTGAGCAGTGTTCATTAGCGAGGTTTCAACTAACTATTCAGGTTGTAAGATTTATCGTGTGCATTCCTGGCGTTTCATGTCAACAATGTTTCGTTCAAGAGCCAATGAGTACCTCAAAGCACGCACCAGTAGCTAGATTTAAATAGAAAATAGCATAGTTTAAATACATGCAACTCAACCAACACAAATTCTGTTATGCATTAGCATCAGATTTAGCGGGGTAGCCCTGGTAAACGAGAAATCGGGGAATAGGTCTCCCGAAATGTAAGCCCATCGTCTCTTACATGCTTACTTAGAATACTAAATCACGTTTTTTATTCGCCGTCTGCAAAATCAATACCGGGAGTAAGTTTTGTGCTAAAATGTTTCGCTCGGCTACGCCTTGAAATAGGAGAACGATTTTGGTATGACATCCGGAAGGGCACTGCCCTTTTGGTAGTTTTAATCGTGATGCAAATTTGCTGTTGCAAACACCTGAGATGCAGCAGCTGGGCAATGTTTCGCAAACACAAACACCATTTACGTACTCCTAATTTTATTACATACAAACTGGGCCTTCATGGTAGCGAGAAATAAACGTAATTTTCTATGCAGTTGAAAATTATTTAAAGCTCACATCTTTCTTTCGTAATTAAGCACGTTTGTGGTACAACTACATACATTAGAGAACCTACCAAACTGTTTAAATCAGGCTTTTGGTCGTCCACTTTTCCATCATGCCTTAAAAAATTCAGCTTACCAGTCACGAAAATTTTACAACCAATTGCACTCATTTGATGTCTGACACGACTTCCAGGCTACTCGGACGCTTGAAAACTTTCTCAGAGAAAGGAATCGTAGTGCATTTCCTCCACTTACGGACGAGGACCGTTCTTTGCAGCCTCCAAGTTCTGATACCATTCAACAACACTTTTTTTCTGTCGAAAGAACGAGAGCTCAATTTTGCGCCTACTAGTACCGCTGTCTTTGGAATTTAGGCACTTTGGTAATACCTGATTACTCTCACACCCATGCTTAATTCAAATCCGTTTTTTTTCAAACATCTTCTGTTTGAAGCCATTTGTGCACCTTTCGTTGATGTTGCTTTGGTTCTCAATCGTCCTTTTAAGGCTGTGCAACACACACTTTTGCTCAAGCTTATAGAACTGCAATTTTTCAGTCGATTTTCAGGTTTCACAACAAATTACACGAAAATAGCTGGACCTGAAAACCCCAAGCGTATCTCTTTTCACCTCAGAAACTCAACGTGGTGTATTATTTCAACTGCACATTATTTCGCAAGCAGCCTGAATTTCGAAACACAGAGTTAGAGATTAGTCAGTGGAGTGAATTTTCTAACTGTGACGTTTTCGCATTGTTCTTGCCGAGGTTGCAAGTGGACTTTAAGTGACGGTTTTGTGAATATAAAATTAGTCACCTCTTTGAAAAAAAATAAAAGTGCAATAAGGTATCCAGTGTTAATGATTTCATACGCTCGTAAGATTTTGATAGGAAATCGCTAAAATGATTCATGTGCATTAAATATGAGTATTCTGGGTTAAATCTGCCGATTTTAAAAGGTTTTGTCACTCGACTGACATGCAAAGCCTATTCACTAGACAAACTTAAGGTCATTTCTCAAATCGTCAGTTTTTCCTTTAATCTAAGTTAAGGAATTTTTGGTAATGACTATAAAAAATAGTAAAATGGATTCAAAATACACGAAATCAACTTGGAAGCAGACCCAAAATCAGCATGGTGAATTGGTCTTTATTTAAAATTTTGGTTTTTAATATAAGGCTCAATTTGTACTTTTACTCAACAAAAAATCTAAAAAAACAAGCCAAAGCCATTACTGACAGCCTCAGGCTTAAACATTTGGAAGTTAATAATATTGGCGTAAGCATGAAAAAAGCCTGTGATTTCACAAAAGACCCGAACTATACAGTTGAAAAAGAATCGTTGAAAAGATGCTTCGTGCCAATGTTAGCATTGTTAGAACAGCTAAGAAATCATTCAGGACTGTCATGTCTTAGACACATTCCCACTAGTCAAGTTTGCTCTGCCGTAATGAATTATGGTTTCGGCGCCATTTTATAAAGTAAGCGTAAAAGAGAGGCGACGATTATTCCCTCATTTTAATCTTGATAGTAGGATATCGCTGTCGGTGATGCTAATTTTAACTGCTAGTTAATTATCTTTAACTTTCATCAAGGACTGTCAGTGGAGAAGTAAAAGTCATAGGTCGTTTCGTAGGCAATACACAGTGATAGCCCTTTCATATAGGCTATAATCTTTTGTGCGTTGACAATAAAAATATTGCCCATAGCCTCATTTCTTCCTTCACTACCAAGCTCCAACAAATAATACTTAAACCAAAATTAACGAAGCCTTCCTCTTAAGATATTCTTTTAAGTGCATCCTTAATTAAAGTGTGATCTATTTACCTTTAAAATGACTTATCTTTGAGAAATCAATAGGTAAACAAATTCCGGTGATCGGATTTTTAGTTTCCATTCCCATTTGAAAATTTGTGGACTAAAAACCCTACAGCCATTTAAAATAAGATACCCCTGCTTTGTTGATTTTTTTAAACATGTAAAAGGTGAAATTCAAAGGTATTGCGTACTTTAGTGTTTGATGAAGCTCAGCGATTCGGACGAGCATTTCTGGGGTCTGGAGGTTTTTGGGTGCAAATGGCACATTGAAGAGGTACTCAATTCCTTCATGGGTCTTCGGGTCCCAGTCACCCGCTTCTGATTGAATAACGTAGGCACCGAGGATCACATAGGTGTTGAAAGAGCACGGTAATCTAAAATACGGAAAGACTGATCGGTTTGTAATCGGGAGATTACATAAATTGACGACTAGGGGATGGACAATCAACTATAAGTTGGTAATCAGGGTGTCTACAATTGCCTCCTTTTTGATAAATTAATAAGCTAAATGTCTTTGGGTAATACTCGCCTGTAATTTACTGTATTTGCTTATGACATAAATATCGGTCATTTCTTCGTGCATGTTTTAATTCTTCGTACGTTTTATGCCCGGACATGGGGTACATGGGGTGATAGGATCAAGTAGTTATTTTATATTGTGCATTGTTAGACATTCAGGTCTACAAGTTGAGAAATGTTTAATAGCCAACCAAAAGGCCATTTGTTAATGACAGAGATGGTGCCAACTATATGGAAAACATGCTAAAAGGGGAACGACGAACACTCTGGTGGTACTGAACACGACTGAGAGGGTATTTAATACCTTTACCTAGTTGGATATTTTTTTTATGAGACTACAATAAACCACAAACTATTTGCTGATTTTAGCACTTGAAATAAAATTTGTAGACGCGAGAAGGCTTTAGATTGAACCAGAACTGATGCAGTCAGTCATTTCTACAAATTTGTTTGTCCACCGCATTCAGAGGACAAAATCAGTCATCTTGAAATGGACAGGATAACAGTCTTCTTGTTGGCTCGCGTGAGCGACCTTTAAAATCTGAGAAAATCAAGTAATTGGTGTCAAGGCGACTAGTGAAAAACCGCTCTTTGCTGTTGCCTTTAACCAGGACTCTGAATCCTCAAGTGAATAGACCCATGACTATAATGTGGCCATTATAATTCAAGTTTAGAGACCAAGTTTATAGTTCTTTTTGATTTCCTGAAGTAAAAAAGATGAAAAATGCGTGGCTACTATGCATTGCCATCACTTTCCCTTGGATTGGGGGGGGGTGGTTGCACAATGCAGGGACGATCAAATTGCGTATGACTTGGAACAGTGAAAGTAGCTTACTGTTATAACTCAGTGCACGACTGGCTGCGTTGGCTTAATATGTCAACGCTCTATGCCCGTCGAAAGTGCCTAAAATACTAAGGCGAATCCGTTGGGTTTGCATGAGACACTTTTTTAAACGGCAACATCAACCTTCATTTGGGCTACCTCCTCGAAAACCTGGAGGAGCCGGTGAAACCTTTCAATTATGCTCACAGCAGTAGCCGACTATGTTTCAAATTTGGTTTTTTAAGTTAACGCTTTGTCATCGCCCACTTGCCACGCATTCCGCCCTAGTCCCAATCAACGACCAAGTGGTCACCGACGTTACACGGTTTCCGTGAGAAAGTCACTAAAAAAGCAGAACTTAATTTAATTTGCATCTCTTTAGAGAAAGTGAATTAATTAAATCGTCGTGTACTATGAGAACTGACGCCTTTATTTATCAATTAATGAAAATAAAAGCCTAATTTTTGCTTGATGTTAGCAGTTAAAATTGTTCAACAACTGACCCGCCGGATGCATCTTAACCCATTAATGAATTAAAGGTCAAATTACTTGTACCGGTATTCAAAGTCACCAGTGCCGGTTATAAAAGGGATAAACTTGCTTTTGAATAGTTGAAATTCAGGGGCCTTTATTACCTCAAACGCAAAGTAGTCCTGGTAGTTAGTTGTTGTTATGTTCAGAAGTATAAGGATAGACTGGGCTTTGCTTAGGGTGACAGAATAATCTTTGACCTCAATTATATGTCACTTAGTTAAATACAAAATATGGATGAAAATGGATTAAAAGTCGTGGGTGAAAACAAGACGCGAGAGATAAGTCAGGTTGGTGCGTGTGACGGTGAACAGGGCAGCAGACTGTTTTTACAGAGCTACACGTTTTACCAAAAGTACTACATAGCCCACTCATAAATTATCTGACTCAGGTATTTTGGTAACATTACAGAATTTTTAGTAAAAGCGAATAAGGTGATGATGAGGATCTCATTTTGAACAAATGACGATAATCATGGTAAAATCTAATAACAGAAAACAACGTTACCTGAACGGTGCTTGCAAATTTAGGCTTAGAAAAGCATGATCAGATCTTTAAAATGTAGGCTTTTGGTACACGTGCCATGGACATGGGTTTTTAGCATGACGTATTAGAACAGTCAGTTTATGGGTTTCAGAAACTTAAATATCTGCACCTGATTTCATTCTGGGCAGATCATTTTGCGAAGTCAGTTCAGTAGCATTTAAAAACAAAGCCAAGATTTGGTAAGGTAATTCCAGCTCACCATTTAAGAACAAATTAACCAATTAGCCGGAGACCAAATAAATCACCTGCAAAGTAATCGATTACTAACATTCTGAAACCCAGCCAATCATTAGGCCTAAATAGGCACTAAAGTTAACTTTGAGAGACTTCAGGGAACCAATATAACGCCTCTGAGTAATATATAGTTAGACACCAGTTACAATAAGCAACATATTGCTTCAACGCACACCAAGGTTTCGTAAAATTATCCTGTGCAATCTCGAATTAATATTGTATTTGAATCCGGGCTTAAGTCAGTGTTAGTCGCACGAAAGTCCCGTGTCACACAACACCGAAATGGCGAAGTAGGATTAGCTGCCAAATCACATGACATCCGCACAAATGTTTTGTCAAAAGTGAGCAGACCTAGATCGCAACTCATCTCCAGCCTGCCTGTTCACGCCGTCCAATGCAAGCATTCGTCTGTGATTCTCGACGTTCCAGAAGTTAGTCTTTTAGACCAATATAAACTGAGTCAACTGTTACGTGCTGCATTAATTTGGCTAAATTCAGATTAAAATTCAGCCCATAAAGCACTAAATACAATAAAAAAGGAAAATGACAAGGACTGTGAAGTTGTAGTAGTTGGACCCTGGAGTCTAAATGACATCAATGGTTCGATTACGCACAATGGCTCAAGCACTGAGGCCATTCGTGTTCTACTAGGGTGTCATAGTAGTCCTTGAGATTGTATTGTTATTCAAAGGCGTAGGGCTTGGTGTTTGCGTTAAAATGTGCGTCGCGACTGGTTACTTTGCTGCTCTAGAAACACAGTCTTTGAGATGTTAACAAAACTGAAATCCTAAAGAAATGGCAAATAAAAAAACGAATGTAACGGAATTCCAACTTTTGAAATCGTTATATGACTTTCGATTTCCTCTAAAATAAATGTTATAAGTAAAGCATTTTTTCATTTTGTACTTACTGGCCACAGATAATATCTTGTCTGATTTGAAGGCACAAAAAATAACGAGTGAGATCGTCTTTCAAGTACTCAGGATGCGCTGGATAGAATTTGAACCGAAACTCGAATTTCCAAGGATTTTCTGGAATAAAAAAATGTTAGCATCATTGCAGTATAATTTCCATTAACTTAGAAAGACCTATCTGCCTGTGCTGAAGTTAGTTTTCAAAGAGCAGGGCGCATGTTCTCAAATTATGATTTGTGCGTTAAGATGTGTCTCCATAGATATATTACATACTAACTTTAAATGGCCTTCTGTGTGAAGAAAACCCGAGTTGGGTTATAGAAACGTAAAGAAAAGATGATAAATGTATTTTCTATAAGTAAACGTTTTACTACAACACACTAACGAACATGAATGGTCACAGGACTTGGGAGTTTTGGTCACAAGTAGAAAGTGAATTCACTTCAATCTAGGCGATGCCTAGGCTTGAAAGTAAAATATTCCAGCATCTTTTAACATAGTTTTTCTCAAATAGTTGGCGGAAAAGCCCTTATTTCTTACTCTAGCGTCTGATTTAGCGCCTCGCGTCAAAGCCACTTCATATTCAGGCATGAGACAATCATAATAAGGCGACTCCATTAGAAAGGAGGTCTTAAATCAATGCCATATCAGAGGCAAATGAACACTGTGCAGAACCCGTAAAAACGAGAAATAACATCAAGGCTGTAAGAAATTATTTTATTGACGATTTATGTACGTTCTGACAATAGGCTAGTCCGTTCTCAGAGAAATGCCCGTACACTAGAATATGGTACCATTCATTAAAGGAATAACTTGTTTTCACAACTAAAGACTTCATAACGTGCAAAATAATTGGTGTAATCTCCTGTGCCAGCATATAGGCTCAAATAATTCTCGAGATATTTTTGGTGCAAGCTCAAATGAAAGAGAGGTGCTTTAAGTATTGGACTATTTTCATCACAACGATTGGTATGCAATTTAGGGCAATTCTCACGGAGACACAGCCCTTCAAAATTAAAAAAAGACAAACTCAGTCACTCGAATAGAAAACGAATAATACATTATAATGAATTCTGATAAGCTGCCTACATGTTAATGAATGACGGTAAGAATAATACACAAAAGGGATTGAAGACCAAGTTTCCATGAGAACTAAAATACCCAGTATTGAAAATTTACACAAAAAACGTCTGTCAATTCCCGCACACTTTTAGAAAATAAAGCCTATAAAAAATAAGATTATAATAACATATGTTTAAAATGCCGATACTCTAATACGAGATCAAGTCATGTGAATGCAAAGCACGTTTTCAACGAAACCGATTAAAAATCACATTTTCACAGATTAAATGTCCATTTTGCAGCTTAGATTTGTCTCTAAAAACGCTAAAATAGCGTTTGGTGTGTGCGTGCATGTGCACGCCACAAGGCGGTGTAATGTGATAAAGAGGCAAGGTCGGAGAATGGGTTTGCGCTGCACACAGATGACGTGATTTTAGACATCGCTGTTCATGACTGGTACGCAAAGCTGCTCTCCAAAATACTCCCTGGCTTCGAAG